CGGAAACGGCGGGTGGCTCCCACCCGGGCCCCGCGGCCCCTGCCGGGCCTCGCCCCGTCCAGAACCCCGGTGTGCAGAGCCCAGGTCGGGGCCTTTCTGCTCTTACTTATTTTCACCTTAATTCCAGCAAATACCAAAAAGAAAGAAAGGGGGTCGGGGAGGAAAGAGAGGGGCTGCGGAGGTTGGGAGAAAGGAGAGGGCTGGGAGGGCCCGCGCAGAGACCCGTCCCCCACTCCGACTGTTTGTTACTGAGTACTTTTTATTTGCCCCTGCAGCGCAGTGGTAACAAGTATGGCAAAACTTCCAAGAGATCTGTAGTTCCTAAAAACATTTAAGAAGAAAAAAATTGTTTTAATATAGAGAAGTAAATATAATTTAGGGACATTTTTACTTTAAAAAGGTATTTCAAAGGCAAGAGCAGTGAAAGGCAGTAAAGCGCATTTGTTTTTTCTTTCAGCGGCAGAAGCAGCTAGCTGTGTACACAGCTCCCCATGGCCTAGTGAAATCGTGTAAATAATGAAATGCACACATTGCATAACAAACAGGAACTGGCCTGATCCAAAGAGGTGGCATTGTTACCTCTTCAACCTGCTTCCCAGTCCAGTGTTAATGACTTCAGCCCCCTGTTCCTATGCCTTTTAAAAGCTTGAGCCAGTAACCTCTGAGCAGCTTAACACATTTTCAGAAGGTATCTGTGTGTAATATATTCAAATTTAGACCTTCAGTAAAACTTGTTTTTATGTGTTCTGTGCACTCACTAAAATGTCTGATAACAGTTTGAATAGCGGGTTCCTGAATCACACTATCCTTATGAATGCTTCATTCCTCATATAAGGATGGAGACACTCAGTTTGAGGATTTGGGGGTTCTGGTTGTCCACTGCTGCTCAGCCCTCCCCTTTTCCAAAAAGCCACTTCTTAAGCTATTTGAAATTTCTCCAGAAAATGGATTGGGACTGAGAAGGGGGGAAAAAATCATTCAATCTGCCACTTTCTAGACTTTTTAGCAGAATAGGTGAAAACCATTGGTCAGCTTTTATTTTGAGGATAACCTGTGGATTTCATATTAGAGTAATTTCTTTTTGCTTAACACAACACCAGAAATTACACCAGTCAGAGGCCTGAGCCACAGCCTGAGACTAAATTCTTTCTTTACTCACTGCCTTCTGGGTGTTCGTTAGTGAATAGCCTCTCTCCTCTGCACCTTAGTGAGCCCATGCTTGACAGAAGCAGAAATCTATCCTAAAGCTATAGCTATTAACAATAAGAAACACTGCCCCAAATATTAACCATATTCCACTGAAGTTCTAAAAGGAACATTTTATGTCTTTCTCCTTTAATGAAAACTTTTTCAGAATCTTGAAAGTTTTATAAATTTTCTTTTAGAAATATGTCAAATGCTATAGCTAATGGACCCCATGGAGGGTTCCATAATAAAATATGTTTGCCACCCTGTGCCCATCAGCAATGTTCATTTCTCTCTGCCCCCAAATGTATATGGCTGCAACATCATAGCCACTGTGTGACCACCAATTGCATTTAAAGTGTCACATGAATTATAGACATGTTTACCAAACCAGAGGACGGCAAAATCACCATGGCAAAAAACTCTACTTTCTGTGAGTAAATGGTGTGTCATGTTTACAGCAGATAGGCTGAAAGGCTGAACTGTTAGTATTGAATTTTGCAGCTAACAGATAATTTTGCAAATAGCCAACAGTGAATCACCATTCATAAATGCAGTCAACTACTAGACAGACATGTTTATCCATATTTGTTCTTTGTGAATTTTTCAACATTATGTGTAAAATATAACTCCTCTCAAGCCTAGGGTACCCTCTCCAGCAACATATGAGCCATTCCACTGTGCATCCAAATATTCAATTAACAGCCTTAATTGCTTTGAGACTGTGTGCTTCAGATTTCTGCTAATTAACAGCACCTTAAGACCTTCTCTTCTCAGCTCTCTGTACTATATTATCACTAAAGATGGAATTTCTATTTCTAGTTATTATAAGGTACCTGCCACCATAAAACCTAAACACACAGATCAAAGATATAGGACAATTCTTTGATTTACAAAATAGAACAAGCACACCTAAATCTAATATCAAAGAATCTAAAAATATTCCTGTTCCATATTTGAACATAAATACTCCACGTATCCCTTTATGTAATTTTAATGCATTTTAACCTAACACCATATTTGATTCCTTAAATTATATTATTCACTTTTAGTGTTTACATAACTGAGGTCAAACAATATCAGTAGCACAGTCTATTAAAACCAAGACCTATATAGCTAATTACTATTTGACACTAAGAGAATATAAATGGAAACACCTAAAAGGGACAGCCTATCTAGATGTCAGAGGAACAAAGGGGTAAGACTTCGTCCAGCACCCCCTACCTACACAACCCTCTCTTCCCAATCTTTTTTCACCGATTGCTATCTTACCAAGCTTTCTTGTTGTATTGGTGAGTTCTGGCCATACAACAGTTACAAGCAATTGTTACCTTCTTCTTGTGGGCACCTAATGCTCTGGGAGCACCTCAGCGATAGAGCTACCTTGTACATGTCAGATAACTTCTAACCAGATTGTAAATCTCTGAACTTCAACAACAAGGAATTGTGTTCTTTCGTATGCCCTCAAGGAATGCACAGTTCTCTTGGGGGGGTTGGAGTAAAGAATTAATGGCAATAAAGGCGATCCGTCCAGGAGAGATGCAAGTACCATTACATCTAAGGACGTTGCAACTCGTAGGCATGGAAATAATCCAGGAAGGTTTCTTGGAAAAGATGGCATTCGAGGCCAAACAAATAGGATAAATAGTGAGTGAAGAGCGTTCCAGGCATGAGCAGTGGTGCTGAATGATGGCAATGCTTGTTGAGGACCCATTCTCTCCTCTATGTATCTTCTGTGACCTGTCAAAACCAAGCCAAAGCACTCAGGAACTGTGGGCTTCAACGGGCTCATGTCTGAAGGAAGACGCTTCTCTGGTGGTTTAACTTTGCTAGCCTGATTTTTGTTTTGGCAGGAAAGACAAAAATTTTCCTCATTATATACATTTTGATTTCTAAAGATTTCAGTCTTTTGTTTATAAGGAAAGAAGCTCTGATTCTTTCCTTTTTCGGCATGCAAGCTGATGTTTATTATAATTTCACTGCATCTTACCATCTGAGTAGAAATGTTGCATATGAAAATTTCAGTGTAAGACAATTGCCCATCAGGACATACATATAAAGGTGGAGACGTGAACAGAGCGTTATCTATATTACTAACACTGATTACATAAAACTTGAAAGATTAACAGTATTGTTCCCTTTCCTTTACCCCTATTCTCTGGACCAAAGGCAAGTAGATGTTCAAGGTCACTGTCATTCATTTTTCACAGTCCCAGGAACCTTTTAATGATTCAACATAACCAAGTGGCCGTGCCATTTTAAAGGACATTAACATTCCTATCAAGCCCTT